TTCCTCAAATTTATATTATTTTGAGAGAAAATATTTGTTTTTAAGAGAGGTTTCTTGTCATCCATTAGAGCTTTAATCTTTTCTCTTATCTACTCTTTTGAGAGCTATTGTTGAGAGGTTGAAGAAGATTGTTCTTCTTGTTGTTCAAGGCTTATGTGATTTAAGTCTTGGTTGTGAAGTCTTGTAGAGAGCATATCTACGAGCGGTTGTGTCGAGGCTTGTGGGATTCAAGTTCTCGAGTTGTAAACGGTTTGTTAAGCACCCGTAAGCTTAACGGAAGTAGTGGTAGCTTCGAGAGAGTCTCTCGGGGAACTGGACTAGCCACGAGGTGGTGAACCAGTATACATCGGTGTGTTCTTTGCCTTCTCTATTTTATTTCTGCTGCACTTACGTTTATATTTTTAATCCTGCGAAAATCGGTAAACATTCTCAATAACTCTATTCACCCCCCCTCTAGAGTTGCACGCCTTGTCTAACAAAAAGGAACTTGCCCAGAAATTCCAATAATATTCCAGTCCAAATTTTTGACAGGAAATCTCCCAATTTCAGCTCCAGAATTGGGAAGGTGAAGCTTTTCTCCCAAATTCTTCTACGAAAGCTTCACTTTTGTCCCTCCAACAGTGGATTTGATGACTTGAATCGTCCTCTGTGGGTTCTTCTTTTATTGAACAGTCTTGACCTCTCCATTTCTGTAGAATTCCAGAACTTCAACTTCATATTTGGAGTGAATCTCCATATGAAGGAATTTGGAGAGTTCTTGAGCAGCTATCATCTCCGGATAGCTTTGATAGAACTCCGATGACGAGCATTTGGCTTCCAATTTCTGGAAATGGACATTAGCGCCAACAATCTTCATTCTTTAGAGATTTGAGTGAGAGAATCTGAAGAATCTGAAGAAATTTTAGGGTTCTTGAGAGAATTCAGAATTCTCGCGAAGAAGATGACGAAAAATTTGAGTGGGCGGTTGAGATCTGAATAGTGGCGATTGGGTTTGATTTGGGTGGTTTATGCGGCTGGTGGCGATTGAGTTTTTGACTATTCCCAAGGCCACGTGCCTACCCAATATTTTGACAGACGTGGAAAGTGGACTGCCACGTGTACCGCACTTAGTCTAATTGAATTAGACCAATTTTGTGAAGTAAGCCGGAAAACTTGGCTTCACTTAGTGGTTTTGTGAAGATATCCGCCAATTGTTCTTCAGTTGAGATATACTCAATTTTGATATCTTTCTTTTCCACATGATCTCTGATGAAGTGATGCTTGACATCAATGTGCTTAGTGCGAGAATGATGCAATGGATTTTGTGAGATGGCCATAGCACTTTGATTGTCACAAAATTAAAGATTGTCACTTCTCTTGTCTTGACTCCATAGTCCAGTAGTTGTTGCTTTAGCCACAAAATCTGAGCACAACAACTACCAGCAGCAATGTACTCTGCTTCTGCTGTTGAAGTAGAGATGGAGTTTTGTTTCTAACTGAACCAAGAAATAAGATTTCCACCGATGAATTGACAAGTACCAGATGTACTTTTCCGATCAACTTTGCATCCGGCAAAGTTAGAATCTGAGTATCCCACTAAATCAAATGAGTTGCTCTTAGCATACCACAAACCCATGTTCTTGTTGAAACACGGGCTTGTCACGTTTTCGTACTAAAGCCGTGTTCGTTTTTGTAACAGGTTTTGATAATGCCAAACCGCCGTGATCAAGTCAAACAATGAATATACAAGGCGAAGAATGGAAAGTTAAACGAGAGCCAAAAGAGACCAAGAACGAAGACCGAAGTCCTTAGCTTTGTTGAGTCGGTCATAATTGTAATCAAGACCGACCCAACCCTCACGCATTGGCTCTTTAGGCTAAAATCCTTCTTTACATTTCCTAAATCATAAAAATGTTTTTCAAACATGTTTAAGTCATTAAAAACACTTGGTGTTCGCCCAAACCAAAAACCAAGCCATCCGGCGTTCGGGTTTCAGAAACCGGCGTTCGGCTCCCGGTTATCGGCTAGGGTTTTTGGCGTCCGAACCAACCAAGTGGTTTTCAACTTTTTATGATTGGTTTTCACTCTT